TTTACCAAATGTTTACGATTCATAGTTTTAAAAACGGTTATTATGTACCGGTTGTTTTTTGTTTATTACCTGATAAATCAAGTGAAACAATGTATTCCTCCTTTTAAGTAATAAGTGTAAAACTTTTGGTTTAAATTTTAAACCAATAAAGATTGTGGTAGATTTTTAATTAAGCATTCACAACGCAATATATAAATATTTTGGGAGAGATCTTATTCTTTTGAGTTGCAAATTTCATCTCTGCCAAGCATGGTTTCGGAAAATTCAAGAATATAATTTAGTTTCGGAATATAAAGAGGAAAACTCTGTGATTGGTAGATATTTAAAACTTCATTTTGGTATGATGTACCTCAGTTCTGAGGAAGTTGTAGATTTTTTTAATGAAGAATTGCACTATTTGCTACCAAATGATAAAAGAGTAAAACATATGTCAACAATTTATCAATATTCCAACCAAATATTTGGGCAAATAGTGCAGATTTTTTTAAGAAGACTACTAACGCATGTGAAAGTTTTCATTCGCATTTTAATAGCTCCTTTTATAAAGCACACCCCAATATAATGCATTTTACACGTGTATTGTTAGATTTCCAAGTAGAAACTTATTCAAAAATGCGGTCAGCTAACAATAATTAGAAAAAAACTGAAAAAAATATCCATACGAAAGTCAACACAATACAAGAAAATATTGAAAAATATAAAAATAAATCTGTTTGTTAAAATAATGTCATTTAAGAATCTCTCGAATGTCTAATTTCATTTTACTGTGAAGCTTTTATTATATTTGCAATTTTCAATTAACTGTGTATTGCAATTTAGTATTCTTGTGGTTTTTTATACTAATTTTATACTGTTATTTTTTTTTTTAATAAATTCGAATATTTTCATTTTAAGTTGTTTTTTTATATTATTTCATATTTTTATTCATGTATCTATGTAGCTATGTAAGTATCACAAATAGTAAACAATATCAGCAATGTCTTGGATACCTACATTGATAATATCTTAATCGGATCGGAGAGACCCTCTTATGATTTAGGAACCTAATCTGCAAAACTGTAATCCGTGGCAGAGTTCGGATATCAATTTTTCTTTACCTGAAGTTTGTGGCAGAATTCGGAAACCACGAAAGAAAGAAGGAGGTCAAACGCTTGACACGCCCATTGTTTTAAAAATTCCTAATTACTAAAAGTACTAAGAGCCGGTTTTTAAATGTGTAGTTAACTCTGACCTTGAGCTAACTGAATGTTAACTAAAACATTTCTGTGTTTCAATTGATAGTTAAAGACTAACCGAAAGCTAACTTTAACCTTACTTTCAGGGTACTGTCAACCCATTAAGAGATAATCTTTACTTTATAACCTACATGTTCTTTGACATTATGGATGCTTTAAATATTGTTAATATCTACAGTAGCGAAGAGGAAGAAATAGTGAGAAATAATTCGACAGAGGCTTAATTTCATGGAACAATATATTAGTTTAGATTTTTTCAAGTTTAGATTGTCGAAGCGGACTGTTGAGATGATCACTGATGAAGTTCGGGACCTACAGTTAAATGTTGTCTCTGCCTAAATAATAGATTATTGAATAGATTTATAGAAACATTCCAAATTCCAAGAATTAAAAATTTGGCGTCTTTTTAAATCTTTATAAGTTATCTTTCTTTTTTAGTTTGAATATGTCCTTCATCGAGGTTTAAAAACAACATTAGATTACCCACGATGAAAGACAATATTCACCGGGAGAATACCACAGAACCATCACAGAACACATAAAAATACAACGTTGCCAATTTGAAATTCATTTAAAAACTAGGTCAATTAACAAGAAGTACAATTTACATTGAAAAACACTTCTTATTTTAACTAAAAGTTAACCTTCAAGTAGAGGTTAGTTAACCTCCAAGTTAACATTACATTGAAAAACCCGGCCTAAGAGTACAATACAATAACAATAGGTTATACTAAATTTGACTGCATAACGTGTTCATCTATTGTTTCTGTGACTGTGCGGTGATTGCGTTGTTGTATATTTAGTTTTTAAAAATAAATAAATTCAAAAAGAACTATAAGAAAATCTAAAATTAATAAAAACTATTTGTGTTATTCTTTAAAAAGAAAAAGAATCTGTAACAATATTGGAGACCACACGTAGGTCGGAGACAGGCCCTGCGATGCGCAGATCACCAGATTATGTGTAACGGTTTTAGAAATATTGGTTGTAGGAAGTTCCTCTTATTAAAAAATTATTATTTTTAATTATGTTTTAGGAGATATAAATTGAAAATTAAAGTTAAATGCAATACAATTTTTTAGGAGCGCAAAAGAAGTAAAAAAATGGTATATTTCAAAACTAATTTGGAAAGTGAGAGTGCAGAAATAACGATTTTCAACGAGTTATGTACACAATTTTTCCGACGAACATAATGTACGAAAAAAATTGTATCACATAAAATTTTAAAAGCAATGTGCTTCAGTAAAATATGTTAATTTCTATTATATTAAAGTTTACCTAAACACATTTTTGACCAAAACTTACAAAAGTAGACAGATTATTTATGTAGGTACCTATGCCACTTCTTAAGTTTAAAGTTAAGCATACAATGCTTTATCAGTTTATTACATTAACAGTGAATATTAAAATACAACAAGCAAGATAACAATAAATATATTTTATGACGAAAATTGTTTGATTTATACTGGCCACAAATATACAAAAACTACCTTCTAATTTAAAATATAATACCTAAACTGATCACGAAACCATCCCTGCCTAAATAAGTATTAGGTATAAATGTTATGTCAATTTGAAATTTGTCAATAAACCTTATAATGTAATCTGCAAACAAAAAATCTGATGTGTCTAGTTATTACAAGCTTTTTCCGGTTATTCTGTATAACCCTTGTAAATATTCATTCCCAACGAAATTACTGAAAAATTTAAATTTTATATTTTTCTTCAAATTCTTCCAATACGGTCCATTTTAGAGAAATTATATAAAGAATAAAAATTATAGAGAATATTATTATTTGAACAATTTTGGAATTTTGCACTTTTTGTAAAATTTCTCGAATATGGAACATTTTAGAAAAATTATGTACACAACAAAAATTAGTGTACGACCCTCTATAAGGTACCACCCCAGATGTTACGACTATGCCCAAAATTTAATCATTTTACCGCAGGATGGATTAAAGTCTAAATTTAAAAATTTTTGTTTTTCTCTTTATCCTTTTTTGTTTTTTTTTTTCAAAATTCAAAATTTACACGTTTTCTCAAATAAATCGAATACTGTCAATTTTAGAGAAATTATGTGTAAAATAAGAATTATAGAGAATGATTTACAAACAACATTTATTTAAACAATTTTCTAAAAAACTTAAATTTAATTAGTTATTATTTGAATTTATAATTCAACTTTTTATTAGAACATATAAATTTGCACATCTTTTAGCTTTTATCCCGACTTTTAATAAATTAAAAAATACAAAATATCTACCACTTTAAACTCCTGTAAACAATTTTCGTACTTATAAATATGTTAATAAGATATATTCTTCTGTACATCAAGCATATGGTGACATAATGTTAGTTTATCTTAATTATCTCGCTTATGACTTATGATAAAATTATTATTTGAAAACTATGAGAATCCTTAAGCTTTTGCCTAATAATAATCAAGAATAAAGTTTTATGAATTTTTGCACAGTTTTCGTCATATTGGCGTATATAGTTTAAAAAACGGTAAAACACAGTTTTTTTGCCAACCGTCGCTTTGCTTCTATTACCGTATTTATATACGCGTATCCCAATTTAGAAACAACTTTTTCAATGTATTCTCAGTTGATATTAGAGAGTTTTAGCAACTGTACGTTAGATTTCCGCTAACGTTACGTTAAACTTAGATTGTGATATTTTTCGTAAACATTGAACGGAGTAGATTACAGTCTATCCCTAAGGTAACGTTAGCGGATGGTTAGCGGCTGTTTGCTAAAACTCCCTATTATTTATTTCGATAAAAAGAGACGCAAGCAGCAAATCCCGCATTTGAATTGATCAGGCGGTATGCAGGGCCCTTAAGAACAAATAACAGTTTCGAAAACTTGCAACTATTTGACGTGATGACGTGTCGTTTATTTTCACAGTCCACAATAATACCTACCGTAAGAAAATTGCGAACAAGTGGCGGTTTTAAGAGTTAATAACACTTATGATGCGCACTGTGTATTTATTACCTATTGATGACAAATTACAATGTAAAGATTAATTTGTTAAAATATCATTTGCAATAATACATTTTATGAAAAAATTTGAACAAAAACATGTTAGTATTTTAAACACCTGATTTTATTTTTTACCCGTCAATGGGGTCTATTCTGTAACAATTCCTTTATATTTAACGGCCTTTAAAAATGTTTTCTTCTTTACTTCTGCCATTATTTAAATGGATCTTTAAAATACATTAGAGTACTATCTTAAAGAAGTCTGTTTAAATAATGACAGAAGTAAATTAACGAATACAAATATACTTTTAAAGGCCGCCAATATTTTTAAAGGCCGTTAAATATAAAGGAATTTTTACAGAATAGACCCCAATGGGGTCTATTATTAAACAATTCCTTTATATTTAACGGCCTTTAAAAATATTTTCTTCTTTACTTCTGTCATTATTTAAACGGATCTTTAAAATACATTAGAGGACTATCTTAAAGAAATCTGTTTAAATAATGACAGAAGTAAATTAACGAATACGAACATGTTTTTATAGGCCGCCAATATTTTTAAAGGCCGTTAAATATAAAGGAATTGTTACAGAATAGACCCTAATGAACTTTAAGAACGAACAATAAAAGTGTTTGTGTACAACTATATCACTAGCTTTGGAAACTTAGCTAGAACTCGTTCGTAATAGGTAGTAAAAACAAAAAACCAATGAACCTAACCTCAAATTTTCCTAATGGTATTTTAAGAAAATCAAATACTTTAAATTCAACATACCTGTGCCATCCTTGTTTTATAAAATGTAATTGTTGTCTTCAAAAAATATTAATTCATGTCGTTTAATTACTATAATTAAGCTGTTTTATTAAACAGTTTGACCTAGATTATAGAATCGGTATGGTACAAATGGAAGGAATCGGAAAAATCGGTATCGGTTCAGCGACAGTAGACGGCAGAATCGAGTGACAATCGATTAATTGAATGTGCTGTAGGGGAGAGGGGGGCACATTAAACCATTTTAGACAAACTAGTGGTAATTCTATAACGAATATGTTAAAATTTAACGGGCGTTAAAAATATAACGTATGTTAAATATGAGAAGCAATTCTGTAAATTCATAAAAAAATTTAACTTGTCATAATTAATATAATAGTTCATTTGTGCCGCAAAAATCTATTCTATAAGCAGAAATGTGTTAAAAATTTAACATAAATGTGTTAATTTTATGCGTTAAATCGAGGATATTAACATGTACTAATTAGTAGTCTTTAAAACTTAACATATAAGAAATTATGACTTTTAATTGTTTAATTCAGCTCATAATGCAAGAAAATCATGAAATGAACCATTTTGTAAGTACTTAAGTAATTTTAACAGTTGAAACTACACAAATTCTATTTAGAAATTATATTTTATTTATAGTCTACATAAATTATTTTTAGTTAGTAATTGATTTGCCGTATAAAGGTACTATTTATAAGGATAATGGGGTTAGTTTTCTTTGTATTGAAAATTGATGGCCGACCAAATAGTTTATAAAGTACATTCGGCCGCTACTTTTTTCAATATTCTTGTGTAAAACCAGACAGATACAATAAATATGACAGAAGGAATGACATTTTATTTGACAGACCTTAAAACTTAACCATACTTTTATTGCAAATTTGAACTACTTTTTAACGTATGTTAATTTTTTTGGAAATTTAACGTATGCGTTAATTTTATTTTTACAGAATTACAATTTATGTTAAAATCGTAAAATTTAACACCCGTTAAAAATAAACGTATTGAATTACAGAATTACCACTAATAGTGGTCAACTTCTGTAGAAATAAACAAAATGTTTCAAAAGATAGCATGTTACAAACTTTAAGCTTTAGTTAAAAAAGTGGTATAGTATTAATTGGTTTAACCCATTTTTACCCAGGTTTTAAAAAATTGTCAGCACCTGTAATGCCCAAGTTTTAAATTGTGTTGAAAAGTGTAAATTTCGGAATGCATGTAGACAAACAAATAATATTTCATGAAAAAAAGAAGATTTTAATTTGTTTTTGTAATTTTTTTTGCAAAAACCTAATGTTCCAACATTGGAACACTGGGAAGGAAAGGGACCAGTAAAACTCATATCAGTTTTTCCTACTCTTAACAGTTTAATCAAAAAATATTATAAAAACAAAATGTGGTTAAATATTAAATACAAAAAAAATCAAGTTTGGGTCAAATGAAACGCCTTAAAACAAGTGTCATGTAAATTAATGTTACACTTTTCACACATTTTTGTCGAGTTCTTGTGACACAGAGCACACCTATTTTGTTTTTTGGCTGGAACAATCCAGTGATTAAGACCGTCGAATCGTATTTGTTTATTGACTCTCTTTTGCAATGGTTTTGACGATTTAGGGCGGCCTCCAGTTGACACTGGTGTCCCATACTTCTTTAGATATACCTGAACTATTTCTCGTCGAAATTGCAAAAAATCTATTTTTTCGCAATGTGGTTGAAGCCTATAACACTGCCAGGCATTGTGAATACACGAGTCCAAACAAAATGCGAAGAGACTCCACCACCATTTTTTCGATCGGACGCTAATCCTATAGTTGTGAATATTTTGATCCAATCGATCCACCCCGCCCATAAATTTATTATACTGACCAATAACGAAGGGTTGAGAAACAGGAAGGTTCTTTTTCTCACTTGATATCCACCTGTTAACTTGGGAGACGGGATTTACTGGATCACAACTACTAACCATTAGGACAGGACGATTATCGTTCCATAGAGTAACTGCAATTTGAGAATTGAGGTCTGTATAAAAATCAAAGCTCCCTCTTGGACTTTTTTTTATATTTGAATTATTTCGCAATGGACAGTTTTCAAGTCTGTTACCATTGATAGTACCTGAATATCTCACACCATAATTTTTTAGTGAAGCAACCAATTTTAAAGAAGAAAAATAGCGATCCCCATATATTTTAAATGGCACATCCTTTGGCAGATTTTCTAAAAGTGTCATTACGACAGACCCTCCCAGTCCGAGTTCCATGTACTTCCTATCAGCTTGTTTTCCCTAGTAAGGATCAAATTGTATGAGATAGCCAGATTTTTCGTATAAAGACCATATTTTTTACCCGTATCTAATAGGCTTTCCTTTTATGTATTGCTTCGCTCCATGCCTTCCGAAATATGGCACCATACTTTCATCGACGCACAGTTTTTCGCTAAGAGGAGCATGAGATAAATATCTTTCGTTTAGCATATTGAAGAGGGGTTGTAATTTTGCAAATTTATTGTTGTCTTCTAGATTATTGTTGTCAAAACAATGTGCATATTTTTTTAACATTTAGAATCTATTTCTTTGCATTGAATTTGCAACTAGTGGATTATATGTATCACTATCAACTTCCCAAAGCATACGCCATCTTGGAACTTGTAAATGTCCAGATAGATATAAAATTGCTACAAAACATTTTATTTCTTCTCTGTTAGTGGTGAAATTATGATCGCCTTTTTGCCTGACGTACACTTCAAACATTTCCACCAAAAAACTGCAAATTTTCACATCAAAAAATGACTCAAAACAATCAACAGGATTTGAAAATATGTTGCCGTTAAGCGGTTCTTTAGGTGAACTATATGTAGGAAAGGCAGGATCTATGTCAACTTTCTTTTATTGTCGTTCGGAACTGGACTTTGCTTGTTCTTGGTTTCTTCGAGTCAACAATTGAGACAGAGGTTATATCATCACTGTCATCACTTCCATTGCCATCTGTTAGGTTATTATCCTCAACTTCGTCTTCAAGATAAACTACCCCGTCCGGTTTATTTATTTTAGCACAAGCTTCTGACTGCAATTTCCGCCCACTAAGATGATTAACGTTTGCCAAAGGATCCTCGTCATCGTCAGAATCTTCTTCTGACTCATTTCCATCGTTTGGAGGAGTAATGTAGACATCAGCAGACCAAAAGTCTTCATTTTCAACCAAATCGATTAAATTTTTAGTAATCAAATACCTAAAACAAAACATAAACATAATGTACCCATTCATACCCAGTGTTCCAATATAGGAACAAAACAAAAACGACCCACCATTTATAAATTTGCACTTTGTTTCTAAAAAGGTGTGAAACACATGTAACGTACATTCCGTAATACTGACCTCTGCAGTGCAAATAATATTAGAGCCCTAAATTTAGCAAATATACTTACTTTTTGGACGCCATTAGGTCAGCTGTTAACACAAAAAAGATTCCTATAAACTAAAAACAACTTAACTGTTTTTTTTTACCTACCTACATAGAAAAACATAAGAAAATACAAAACACTAAAAGACATTAATAAATATTATATAAATGAAGGTTAACATCGAATGTAAAAAGGCTGGCAGTTCGAGCAGTTTTCTCTGACTTTCAATGACCGATTCGTCATCAACTGTTGGATAAATGAAGGTGTTACTGGTTGGTTTTCGTCGCAGAAAATTTTACTTTATATTCGTTTTCGGTGATAATCTCCGTTACTTTTCCTATGTAATATTTGACTCGTGCTTTTCCTGGAAATTTTACAAGTAAAAAATCTTCTGCAACTATTTTGTTATCATGGCATATTAGGGGAGGTTCATTTTCTTTCTCGCTAAAATCGTTGCTGATATCGTCTGATTTTAAACTTAGCTATTCTTCTGAATTAGTACTGCTGAAACTGGAACTTACTTTTCTTACTCTTTTGCAGTCGGTCTTCACATTTTGAGAGTTGTCTTTATCAGCAAACACTTGTTTTGCGACGAATCTTTTAGGTTTTCGTTCCTCTTGAATTTTTTTTGCGGTTCTCTTTCTCGCGCTCAATTTCTTCTAGTCGTTGTTTTTCCGGCGTATCAGTAAAAATTCTAGATTTTCTGCGCCTATCTTTTCCCCTGGTAGGTTTTTTAACACATGGTCTGGGAAACGGTCTAACCGCCTCTGGCGTTAATACCAAACCATTAAAAATTTAAATTATATGTTTTTGTCAAATGTGACATGTCTTATTTAAACTTGTTTTGCATCCCTCTAGATTATTAGTATTTTCACCAGTCATATGTGAAGTTGAAGGCTGCGGGTCATTATTTTCAACTGTTAAAAAAAAGATAAATAAATTAGCCATATCCCACAACTGATCTGTTAAACCTTACCTGTTGAACTATTGCTCTCTTTATCTGTTGTTGAAACCGACTGAACTGCGCCTAAAAGAAAAAATGGTTGCTTCTTAATTGGAAAAGTTAGGCAAGTTACCTAAATTACCTTCTTCGGTAGCTGAGGGTTTTTCAGAATTTAAGCTTATTGATGATATCATATTCGGCTGGTTGACGTAGCTGGCAGTAAAGTCTTCTTCTTTAAAAGCAAGTCTGTTTAGGGGCCATAAACCTGGTTTTTGAAATAAACTTACTATGTTTTTTTGAGAAAAAGCTAATTAAAATGCTTTTTCAGTTAAGCAAGCAATTTGGTAAATAGCTACAGGCTTTCCGAGGTTTATTTTCATCCAATTGTTAAAAGGAGAAGTACAATAATTTTTAAAGGGTCCATATACTCCAAAATCTGATGGCTGAATGTTGTGCGATGTATGGGGAGGTATTGAGAGCATGAATATACCATTTTCGCGGCAAAAATTTATAGCCTTAACAATTGTGTGAGTTTCATGATTGTCTAACAATAATAGTATTTTATTTTCTTTGTCGCATTTTGTGTGATCTCTAATATGCTTCAAGACTTCCAAAAACAAGTCAGATGTCATACAACCATTAGAACTTCCTAGGCTGGAAGTTGAGCTATTAATAAGATACTTGTCAAGATTACGTATCCTAGAAAACACATACATTGGAGGTAAGGCATTGCCCACAGCATTAATTATTCCAACGACTATTGTTAATTCGCCCCGTTTGGCAGATCTATTTTGACTGACTTGCCTCTTTCCCTTAGAAG